TCCTCAAAGATGGGAAATGGAATGTGGTGATGAACTAAACTTAGGGGAGTAGATCCCTCTGTAAGGAAAATCCTCCCAGGAACGAAAAAGAAATAAGCATCTCATAGGGATGATCCTGGAATCTCTTACAGATAGTACGGATGGTCTTGCCGACATAGAAGGACCCACAGCTGCACAGAATAATGTATACAACTCCACACGTGCCATAATTGGCTCTTTGTCTGCACTTGAGGGTCCTGCCAGTTGGCAAGGTCAAACTATCACCCTCAACCACAGAGGGGCAAACAGCACAACATCCACACCTATGCATACCTGATAGATGACGCAACATGGGGGGGGACCAATTAATATCACTGTGGACCAATAGATCTGCTAGGGATTTAGCCTTCCTAGAAATCAGGTTAGGATGTTCATTTACATATTTCTCAACCGAGGAATTCTCTTTAAGAATGTGGCAGTGTTGGGCACAAATCTTTTATATTTTCTGGTTGTTCTGTATATTGTATATTAAGCTTGTTTCTTGATTTCCAGAGTCTCCCCTTAGATCCAAAAATTATTTTTCTTTCCTTTGGGAATAACATCTCTTTAGCACCATATTTACTTTTATGCATCTTGATATTTTTCATTGATTATTGTAAATTGTGCAACATCTACTAGATGGTGTATTGGACACTTTTTGTGACTCACCACTATTTTAAGTATGTATGTGTTTTGTTCACTGCGTGTGATGTCATTGCGCACATTTCGTCATGACGTGATGACGCTATTCGCAGTTGGAGTGGAGCGGCCATTTTAGGCACCCAGCCAGGAAGGCATGTCAAACAAACTTGAGCCTACCTTTAAGGTAGCCGGTTGTACCAGCGAAACCGGTCAGGAAAGGGCTATCACCACACTCCCAGTTCTCTCCAATGAATCTCCACAACACAATAAGTACCTTCAACTCTGCTCTAATACTGTTCTGATGTTCCAATTTCATCAACACTGGAAGAACTCTTTTGCTAATATCCACTAAAGGGGACTGCCACTATTACCTTCAACTCTGCTCTAATACTGCTTTGATATTTCAATTTCATCAACATTGGAAAAACTCTTTTGCTAATATGCATTAAAAGGGATTGCCACTTTTACTTTCCATGGATGTGAAGTTGGTCATTTCCCGGATCAAGACTACTTATTTAAAGGAGGTTCACCTGATATATACGTTCTCACCTGGATGGTGCTTTAAGTGTTGGGCACCAGAGGGAGGTGAAGCTACCTCTGAAATATATATATATATATATATATATATATATATACACACACACACACATACATATATATACACACATACATACACACACACAGCTTTTGTTAACGGTTTCCTCCTCTGGACTACATGTATATTGGTGTACTGTCTGGGACTTCCTGATGGCTATTCCCAATGTGATGTGTCTGATTCATTATCCTGTGTAAGAGGGAGGTTTACAGAGCCTGCAGCATCCTCCTCTGGACTACACAATTTCCCTTAGACATGGGATGCCAACTACTTTTCCATTCACAGTGATCTTCTTTGGGTGGCAGATATAAACCTATACATGATGCAGAATGTGTTCCCTTCAAAGAGGATTGTAAACGAGCAAGCTTTTGAACCTTATGCATTGAGCAATATATTTTCTCTAGAAAGAGCTATCAAATGTCATCAACTGCTTATCTACTGATTTGATGGGGGATCCCCTTCAATCCCCTAATGGGGGATATTATATAGGACCCGTGGAGTGTGGTGTGATTTTGTTGTTTTTAGAGATGTCTGTCTAATAAAAGAATCGTTGTGTGCCTTTGACCACCAGCCATTCTATTTATAATAATTCATTATTTATTATAATCACATACATAAACTAACCCAATATCCTGGTTGAGTCCATAACTAATCGGTTTTTGTTCAGTTTGCCATTGTGCTGGAGATTAGGGACTCCTGGATCACTGAATTAATATTAAGGACCTTGAGGCTCCAGTTTGGAGGTTTTGCAATAGGATACTCGGCTTAAACGGTAAGTAAATCAAATGTTCCTTTTGCACATCCGTAGCATGCCACACAAAGCCAAAGAGCTCTGCACATCTAAACAGATAAAATGCTTATGCAAGTCCCAAGCTTAGTTGCTTGCAAGAGGCCATCACAGTTGAACCGCAGGGCTCTAGACAATTGACCCAAAAGCTCCAGCATATGAGGGTTCAGCCTTGGGATGGAGCAGTCACGTAAAGGAGAACTGATCCACACTGACATGGATTCACAAATCTGAGTCACCACCAAAAAGAAACAGACAACTATAAAAGATAACTCAAACTGACACCCAAGTAGTAAATCTGATAGTGAAATTACTAAATGGTAAAAACCATCATCTAGCGGTTTGAAAGTAAGTTTGTTGATGTGAATGACTTGAGCGTCATTGGTCGGCAAAGCCCAATCAGTTCCCTTTCAAAAGGAAAAAGCTCCTTCACATTGACAGTAATGAGCCATGATTCCACAGGTTTTCCAGTTCCCATTGAAGAAGGCCTTACATAATTGAATGCATCAGGAAGGTCTTTGGAGCAACATCCCTAAAAGACCCTATACCTGCAATAACAGGCTGATTCTCCAATTGCAGGGTAGAATGCACTGCATCAGTCAGAGTATCAAGGCCTCGTTTGTAAGGCTAAGTTGAATGGAACTTAACCCCTTCATGCCTAAGGGTAAAACAAATCTAAATGCCTAAGCACTATTTTGCAATGTTGACATGTGTTAGAAAAACCGTACATATCATCACAACTACTTTGTACATCCAGGTGAATTATACCTGCGTTTTGTTTCAGGACAAATTAGGCTTTCATTTGGTGGTAAATGGTAATGGATATCTCCTGATTTTTTTTTAATTATCAAAGGAAAACTGGCCCCAAATTTTTTTTTTTATTTAGCTTTGTGCTTCTTGTTACTACCATAACCTACCACCAAAGAACAACCCAAAATAAATTCTCCAGCTCTTGACGATTGCAGCGATACCATATATGTTGTAGTACAGCCCAGAAACAACAGTGTGCATTTTGTTTTTGTCTTTTTTTTAACCTAAAACACACTGACATTGACACTAACACCAATTTTTTTTTTTTTTAATCCTGACCTTAACCCAGACAATAACCCTGGCACTGAACTAGATCAAACCTTGATCTAGGTATTTTTTTCTTTATTTTTTAATATCTTTTTTTTTTACAAACATTTTTTTCTCTCTATGCCAGGAGTTAGAGTGATACAATGTATCTCTCTTCTCCATTCATAGAGAGAAAAAAACAAGAGGGCCGGGCTGCACAGTGACTTTTCACAGCAATCAGAGGCTATCACAGCGATCATGTGACCCACAATCGGGAGACCCGCGTCCCGATAGTTAGAATGGGACCCGGGGCTCTCAGTGACACTGCGGTCTTTGTGCTGGGAGCGCGCAGTGCGATGCGCTCCCAGCACAGAGACATGTACGCAAATATGTGGCCCCATGGAAAAAAGCCCAGTTCCATGAGGCCGCATATTTGTGTTACGTCGGTGTCAAGGGGTTAAATAACAGGGATACTGAGAAACTGCCCCTTTGTACGATAAAATATGAACGTAGGTCACCTGTTGCAGCAGGACTGTCCTCTAGGTCTATTAAGTGACATATTACACTTTGCTAGGAAGAGCATGTAGTCTTAGAAGGAAAGGCCTTGGTCACTCACAAATCTGGGCAGCTTATGCTAAGGATATTCAGAGATAGACAAGGGCACCCAAGTCATGGAAGGTGGGCATTGGAGTGCGACAAGAGAATGGTGAATCCACAAAGCATTAGAGCAGCAGTGGGAAGTTGTTTGCTTTAGGCTGAAGCGATAATGCCTAGAACATGTATGCAATCTCGTCCTAGCAGATGATGTCAGGGCTCAGTTCTTTCAGCATTGACTATTACCATGGTAAGATAGCAGTGGCAGGTTATTTAAAATGACATCGAAGGGTACCAATTGTGAGGTAACTCCCAGTCCTTTAGTCCAATTGGCTTTACTCACTATGTGAGTCTGCAGAGACTAGGTCTCAGCAGAGGCTGTGCCACAGCTCTGGATCTAGAGAGAGCCCTGTGGGCAGCTAGTACAGTACACAGAAGTCTAGAAACACCTTAATGCACAGTCCAATTCCCAAAGGTCACATTCCAGGTTAAAGCGGAGCTCCAGTAATTTTTGTGTTTATTAAAAGTCAGCAGCTACAAAAACTGTAGCTGCTGACTGTTAATAAACACACACTCCCAGGGTCCAGCAATGTGCTTACCCGTGCCATCCCTTCTCTGCCTGACGCCAGCATCTCAACTGTGGGCACCAGGCTGTGACAGCATGCGGCCTCACAGCTGGGTGCCCACTGCGCATGCACGAGGCGCGTTTCGCATCCTGATTGGTCCGGCAGTTTTCTAGGACCTGTGAAATGTCCCAGAAGACTGCAGGAGGAAGGAAGGGGGCCGAACTTCCGTCTCCCTTTGCCGCAGCAAACTGACCCAGAAGTGGGAGTGGGTACCTGTCAAACCCCTCCCAAAAAAAGTGCCAAATATGACAATGGAGGGGGAGAGGAGGCAAACAAGTGGAGCTTCCTCTTTTGGGTGGAACTCCGCTTTAACCCTGCAATCTTCAATCCAGTGTTGTTCGGTTAGAACCTTCAAAAATATAGAAACACCAGCTCAATGGCTGCTGTGCAGAGAATAGCTACAGCGCATCTTCACAACAGCCCAAAAGTAAGTATGCCATACAATTAAATGTACTAATCTTTTTCCCAACAATTTTATTGGGCTCCTATAATCCAATTTGATTTAAGTATAAAATAGATATTTAATGTTTACAAATCCAAGACAGTCTGTAATGTGTTGATGTCAATAAACCATACTTTATCAGATCACTTGCACGCGAAAAAAAAAAAGGTGACGTTCTTCAGGATTCTAAAGATGTTTAAAATTTGAGTGCAATATGCACAAACATGGCAATACTAGAAGTTAGTGTTTTGTCTGCTTCTGGGTTGTCGTTTTTCTGTTGTTATTACTGACTTTTAAAGAATCTAGGATACTGCCTAATCTATTAGCGTCCAGTCTTTTCTTTGAGCGGAATAATCCATCAGAGTCAGTAGGGAATAGTATTGAGGCAAGTCCCCAGTGTTCTTTCCCTTTCTCCAATGGCTGACTGGCTTGCTTCTGCAGAGTCCAGGAACCCTCCTGAACTAAATGGACAAATCGCTCTAGTTGACACTTGTTGACATTTTTACTTATGTTCAGCGACTGTTCAAAAGGATTCTGGATGTACAGAGGAGAGGAATCTGGCTTGTTTTTCTCTACACCCTAGAGAAAAACAAAAAGAAAAACCTTGGATTATACCAAATATGGCAAAACGCTGATGTAAAAAATTTTTTTCATTTCACAGAAGTATGTGCCGTTAAAGGAAGATTAAAGATCATACCGCAAAAGTCCCCACACTGATACACAACTAATGCATATAGTTCTTATTTTTCAATAACATTTTATTTTATCCATACAATTAACAGTAAAATATTTCAGAAAAAGTGCATATACAGTACTAGTACTGCATTTTACAGTCATAATGTGGTATCTCTTTCACATGTATTCTATTACATCTAAATGCATTTGTGTTTTGTGAAGGACGTGACATAAGTATCTCAGAACAAAGGGAAATAGTTCTTCAAACCTTGTACATTTAGGGCTAATGCTCATGGGTGGTTTGGCTGATAAAGAGTAAAATTACAGCATTTTTTCTAGCAGGAGCCCACTGCCAGCAGTCTGTCGAAATCCATGACAGGCTGAATTACACTGCGGCTGTAGGCGACTGGGACTGTTCCAGGGCGTAATCGCTTTTGGGGTCGCATGTTCTGAATCCACTAATTTTGGCATACAACCCTGATCGCATACAAACCCTAATGCTCAGGACAGCTTACAGCTGCACGTTTTTCAGCCTGTCACGGATTTTTAACATGCTGCTGGCAGTGAGCTGTTTTTTGCACTTGTGCTTCCCTTGCACCCAAACACGTTGAGACATTACGCTATATGGGCCAACCGCCCATGTGAACAAGTCCTTAACCACAAAGATGGTGGGAACAAAAAGTAAGGAGGGGCGCAGAATCTGTGCAATAAAGGATGTCAGTTGTTGAGTTTGACTGTATTCACAGCGTGCTTTAGTAGATTTAAATACTTCCTATCAGTGACCAGAGCGGAGTTTCCTCCCTAGTGTGCCTTCTTGTTGGCCAATAAGGATGTCCATCATAATGTGCCAACAGAAAGGTGCAGGAAACAGAGGGAGTGTGTCAGCTTTCAGCACACAGCATCAAGATACAGCCAGTAAAAACACTTAAGTAACTCGAAATACTGAGCCAGTAGATTGGCCCGCAACTATCCATGTATTTCTCTCATAGCTGCATAGTCCTAGCAGAGATTCTGATCTGCTGGTATGTGGTATCAGCAATCAATCTTTGTCCCAGCCAGGCAAGGAAAGAAGCTTCACTGCTGACTTCTGACCGTCTGCAGTCTTGTCAGATTTCAGAGGCAAAAGACAGTCCAATGCACAAGGAAAAACTTATCCTGCTCAATGTACATTCAAGATATGGCAGACACTTTATGCAAGAGGAAATCTTATCCAAGAGCTTGTGCACACCATGTGAGCTGAACTGTATTGATCTGCACAGATCAACACAGGCTTAACACAAGGGCACATAGAAAACTACTGTGCCCTGTTCACACTACACATAAGTGTTGATGTGCGTTGAATAAAAATAAAGCAAGTCTGCATTTTTGCACACGGCAACTCACTGCGCTACATGTCACTGCACCGCAATATGCAATGTGTAGAGTTAAAGGATAAGTTCACCTGTGGAACACATCACATCTGTATTTAGGTTGTAACATGTTCCATTACCTACAGCGCTCACTCTCGATCACTGTCACAGAAAACTTTGCTAGCCCCTCTGACATTACGTGGTCCTGATTTACTAATCCTGGAGAAAGAAAAGAATACGGATGTATATAAAGCTTTCTAAGGTAACATCTGCTGAAAGGTTAGTAGGGGGTGACAGGGAGAATGAATTTTGCCTAGAGATGAGCTGTAAGTTGACAAAAGAATGTTTAGATCTGATTGCTATAATAGATACCTTCACATTCCTTCCTGCCACTTTTCATAACTGTAGATATAAACATACTGCAGATAAATGCTGAATACTGCAAACCTCAGGGTGCTGCACTGATCATCAAGCAAAGTATGTATATTTAGCTTTGTACACATAGAACACAGCAGATGATATTTACCTTGCGAATATCTATACAATTCTTGCTGAAGTCAAAAGTTCCATAAAACTCCATAAACTCTATTAGGAGCGTATCTAAATAAAACAAAAAAATATATACATGTGTAAATCTAACATTATGGCTTAAAAAAAAAAAAAAGAAAAAAAGTTAACTCACCAAGTTAATAATACAAGGCAACAAGACAACAATATTGCTTCTTACGGGTCAAAGCAGCTTGATCTATGCCTATTTTAACAAGTCTCTATACATCCCATTGATGCCCTTAGATACATTATTATACCGTGCCCTGAAAAAGTATTCATACCCCTTGAAATTTTCCACATTTTATCAAATGTAAATGTATTTTATTGGGATTTTATGTGACAAACCAACACAAAGTGGCACCTAATTGTGAAGTGAAAGGAAAATAAAAATGGTTTTCAAATTTTTTTTACAAATAAATATCAGAAAAGCATTGCATACATTTGTATTCAGCCCCCGAGTCAATACTTTGTAGAGCCACCTTTCACTGCAATTACACAGTAAGTCTTTTTGGAGATGTCTCTACCAGCTTTGCACATCTAGAAAGTGATATTTGTGCCCATTCTTGTTTGCAAAATAGCTCAAGCTCTGTCAGATTGGATGGAGAGCGTCTGTGAACAGCAATTTTCAAGTCTTGCCACAGATTTTCAATTGGATTTAGGTCTTGACTCTGACTGGGCCATTCTAACACATGTATATGCTTTGGTCTAAACCATTCCATTGTAGCTCTGGCTGGATGTTTAGGGTCGTCCTGCTGGAAGGTGAACCTCTGCCCCAGTCTCCTGTCTTTTGCAGACTTTCTTTCAATATTGCTCTCTATTTGGCTCCATCCATCTTCCCATCAACTCTGATCAGCTTCCCTGTTTCTGCTGAAGAAAAGCATCCCCAAAACTTGATGCTGCCACCACCATGTTTCAAAGTGGGGATGGTGTGTTCAGGGTGATGAGCAGTGTTAGTTTTCTGCCAAACATAGCGTTTTGCTTTTAGGCCAAAAAATTTAATTTTGCTCTCATCTGACCAGAGCACCTTCTTCCACATGTTTGCTGTGCCCCCCACACGGGACTTCTTTTGGCTTTCTTTCAACAATGGTTTTCTTCTTGCCACTCTTCCATAAAGGCCAGATTTGTGGAGTGCACAACTAATAGATTCTCCCACCTGAGCTGCGGATCGCTGCAGCTCCTCCAGAGTTACCATTGGGCCTCTTGGCTGCTTCTGATTAATGCTCTCCTTGCCCGGCCTGTCAGTTTAGGTGGACAGCCATGTCTTGCTAGGTTTGCAGTTGTGCCATACTCTTTCCAGTTTCAGATGATGGATTGATCAGTGCTCTGTGAGAAGTTCAAAGCTTGGGAAATTTTTTTATAACCTAACCTTGCTTTAAACTTCACCACAACTTTATCCCTGACCTGTCTGGTGTGTTCCTTGGCCATGCTGTTTGTTCACTAATGTTCTCTAACAAACCTCTGAGGGCTTCACAGAACAGATGTATTTATACTGAGATTAAATTACACACAGGTGGACTCTATTTACTAATTAGGTGACTTCTAAAGGCAATTGGTTCCACCAAATTTTAGTTAGGAGTATCAGAGTAAAGGGGGCTGAATACAAATGCACACCCCACACTTTTCAGTTATTAATTTGTGAAAACATTTTAAAACCATTTAGCATTTTCCACCCACTTCACAATTATGTGCCACTTTGTGTTGGTCTATCAGATAAAATGCCAATAAAATACATTTACGATGTTGGTTGTGAGAAGACAAACTGTGGAACATTTCAAGGGGTATGAATACTTTTCTAAGGCACTGTACAAGTCAAACACAACAATTAGCCACTAAATGCACATACATTTTGCCACAGATCAAAAAGGGAACTGTAGAAAGTCTAACAACCTACAGGCCTGCCTATTGGCAGGAGTCACATACTGCATACTAGGTTCACTAATATAACTTTTCTAACTTGTCTTCTTGATCATTACTGTCCGTCAATCACTGGAACTGCTGATGTTCACCATCTTGGGAATTCTAATGCAGGTAAAATCAGATGGAACTGGCAATGATTCCCCTTCTCTATTTCTAGCACATAGCTGCCAAACAAACAATAGCTCTGGCACACTAACATTAACTACTTCCCTGCTGGGCCAATTCTAACACTTTTCTCCTACATGTAAAAATCATAATTTTTTAATAGAAAATTACTTAGAACCCCCAAACATTATATTTTTAGCAGAGGCCAAAGGAGAATAAAACAGTGGGTTTTTTCAATTTTTTTTATGTCACATGGTATTTGCGCAGCGGTTTTTCAAAAACAATTGTGGAAAAAAGTAAAATTTAATGAAGTTTAGTGCACGCAAACAATAGAATACCCTTTTTAAGTAAAATATAAAAGATGATGCTGTGCTAAGTAAGTGGATGCCTAACATGTCGCCCTTTAAAACAGTCTACGTCTGTAGAATGGTGCCAAGCTACAGCATCCATTGGCGACACTTTAAAAACCTCTAAAAACCTCCATTGGCAACACTTTAAAAAAACATTTACAGGTTACCAGTTTAGAGTTACTCTGGAGGTCTGGTGCAAGAATTATTGCTTTCGCTATAACATTCACAGCAATATCTCACGTGTGATGCGAACACCATTTACATATGGGTGCATGACCTATGTATGCAATTGCTTTTGCAAGTGAGCAAGGGGGGACAGGGGCACTTAAAAAAAATATTTCTTATTTTCTCTTTCTTTCTTATGTCTTTAATTTTTTCTTTGATCACTTTTATTGCTATTACAAGGAATGTGATAGCAATAGGCAGTAACAGGTGTTCTTTACTGAAAGATCAAGGGTCTATTAGACCCCAGATCTCTACTCTGCCCCTAAAAAGCATCTGATCTAACCAAGATCAGTGTGATCAGATGCTTTCCCAAGCCAAAAATGGCTTTGTTTACATCTGGTGAAACCAGAAGTGACTAACTAAATACTCATCGCTTCAGGTTTCTAATACCATAGAGGCAATTAGGGACATTCTGGTCCATATTAAAGCTCTATGGTAAGCTCGTGTCAGTGCTGCCTTCAGTCTCAGGCTCCCCAATGAAACTATAGAGCAGGGGTGGCCAACCTGCGGCTCTCCAGCTGCTGCAGGACTACAAGTTCCATCATGCCTCTGCAAGTCAGTAACTTCCCATCTTTGCAATGCCTCATGGGAAATGTAGTTCCACAACAGCTGGAGAGCCACAGGTTAGCCACCCCTGCTATAGAGCCTGGGAAAGCACCAGAGCGCCCCCTCCCACCGCTTTTAAAAGGAATCCAGCAGCTAATTTGCTACTAGGATTGCTTTCACATTACAGTGGATTGGCCGCTTAAAAAAAAAAAAAAAAAAAAAAAAAAAAAAAGATACCAGGATTATCCCTGTAGCTGCAGTCATCATCCTGGTATTTCCACTCAAAGTCCAGGACGTCATGTGATGTCCTACGTGCGGGAGGTGGTTAAACAGCAAAGTACAAGTTACCAACAGCACTGGTTTCTATGGAGTCCTGCTTTTTGTCTTAGTAAATAAGCATGTTTATGTCTTTAAAGTGTTGAAAAGGTTAAAAAGGTTTTTTACCTAAATGCATTCTCTGCATTAAGGTAAAAAAAACCTTTCCATGTCAGCTCCCCTCAGACCCACCATAAATACTAATCTGACCCTTATCTCGTCCAGCACTGTGCACATCTGCAACAGCAGGAGAAATTGGCTCCAGCTGCTGTCAAAGAAATCCTGTGAGCAGAAAGCTGGGGTGGGGCTGAGCAATAAGGTCTCAATAGACACACACAGTGCGGCTCGGAATCAATCCCGCACGAGTGCCCCCATAGCAAATGGCTTGCTATGGAGGGACTCAGAAGGCATGGGGAGCCAGGAGAGCTGGCAGGGGGCTTCAGAAGAGGAGGATCGGGGTTGCTCTGTGCAAACACAGAGCAGGTAAGTATAAAATGTTTGTTATTTTAGAAAAAAAAAAAATTCAACCATTACAGTCACTTTAACCACTTGCCTACCGGGCACTTTTCCCCCTTTGTGGCCAAGCCAATTTTTAGCTTTCAATGCTGTTGCACTTTGAATGACAATTGCGCAGTCATGCAACACTGTACCCATGTGAAATTTTTATCATTTTTTCACACAAATAGAGCTTTCTTTTGGTGGTATTTAATCACCACTGGGTTTTTATTTTTTGCACTATGAACAAAAAAAGAGCAGCAAAACATTTTTTAAAAAAGTTTCTTTGTTTTTATTATAAAATTTCGCAAACAGGTAATTTTTCTCCTTCACTGATATGTGTTGATGAGGCAGCACTGATGGGCACTGATGAGGTGGCACAGATAGGCACTGCTGATGGGCACTGATGAGGAGGCATTGATATGCAGCAATAATGGGCACCGATAGGCGGCACTGACTGGTGGCACTGACTGATGGCACTGCTGGACACTGATCATCAGTGCCGATCTGCTCTGTGACATTTTCTGGATATCAGCAGTACTTTCCCCATGCTGTGACAGCGTGAAGAAAGTGCTGCCGATGACCAGCAATGTATTTACTCTGTGATCTGCTGTGTCATTGGACACATCTGATCACATGGTAAAAGGCCACTGTGATTGGCCTTTTATGTCACCATGTGATCAGCTGTGTCCGTAGGACACAGCGATCATGGAGATCGCCGGGTGCGCGACATGCATTCTGGGAGGACCTCCCAGAACTGGACAACCGCGCTGTAATAGCTGTAGCCATCATTCGGTTGTCGCGGTTGTGAAGTGGTTAAACTCTTCTTACTGACCTCGCTTTTAGTTCAGGTCTGCTTGTCTATTTATAATGACTTACCTAGTGGTTCTGTGTTTTCCAAAGGCTTAATTTTGCTCAGGTCACTGACAAATGTGCAGTCGTTGTCTTCAATGATGCGTTTGTCATTTTTACCTAAAATAAGAATAAGGTAAACATATTTCAGTAAACTGATGGTATCCTTACCTGAACATATATACATTGTTAAAAAGCAATACAGCCATATACACAGTGTTAATACAAAACAAATGAAGCCTTTTCAATGGTTGAAACAATACCTAGAGATATGCTTAGCACAAAATAAATTACAGCTATGATAAGAGGTTATACTTCACTGGCTGGATTTAAGAGACCCTGTCACCAACGTAAAAAATTGCAAGTAAAGCAAGTATCCTAAATTCTTACATACAGAGTTTTCCGTAAATTATTTTTTAATTCACTTGCTTGCAATGAGCACGTGCTAGAAAATTTTACTACACCAGGAAGAGTCAATTCCTTAACATGGCTTTAGTTCCCCCTTGTCAGTTTGTCTAATTCTTACTGTACTGGCCCAGCTCCTCTGCCCCTCCTCTCACCTCTCTTCACGACCTTTTTTTAGCTGTCAGGGGAGGAGAGAAGAGTACTATAGAAGAGAAAGGAATGCTATAGACGGTCACTTGATTAACAGTTGAGTCTGCATGAACTGCTGACATCACATACAAGATGGTGGCACCCAGTGGCAGTCTCAGGGCTTTTGAATGTATACACACTTTTACAGGTAAATAACGTGCAAAAAATACACTAAACTCACATAATTGAAAACAATCAATAATGCTGTTCATACTCAGTCACAATGGGATTCAGTTTTGGTATTCTACAAAAAAAAAAAAAAAACCTGATAGAGAACAGCAGAATCAATCTCCCCCTTCTGTACATGTCCGCAGTGCAATGAGGGTTTCGCAGAGTATTGTTGGTTATTCCACGTGCTCAGTTTTCAGTGAATTTCTGTGCTGAGCATTTCCTCCCTATCACATCTGAGCAGCCTATGTGACTATAGAGTCACACAAGTGGGTGTATATACAGTGCTAAATGACAGCCCACTCCCTACCTCCTGCTCCATGTCCACTAACCAATTAAACACAATGGGGGTGGAATATTACTTCTTGATTGATGGAGACTTTACCTCCCTGTTAAACACAGGCTGGAGGGGCGTGACACAGCTTGTGACTGGCAGAAATCTGCCCGCACCATGTTATTGCCAAAAAAAACAATAAAAATTTCAAATAAAACAGTTTATTAATATTAATTTTATATTTTTTACTTTGTACAAAGGATGTGACCAGCAGTAGAGGACTAAAAGCTGCCCCTGCTTATGTTTCCCTGCAGACAGGCTGAAAAAGATCTGGGTCATGTGACAGCTGTATAATGATCAGAACATTATAAACCTCTCTTTTCCCCGATTTATAATTCTCTCGAAGATCCTTAAAGCAGCTAAAAACAGAGAAATGGGGAGGAGAAAGTGTGTGTGTGTGTGTATAGATAAGTCTGTCAGTCATAGGAGGAGAACACACTGAGTTAGCACTAGAACACCAACTGTGCTGTGCTCTCATGCTTAGTGTGGTCGGTTTTTAATAGGAAAGCAGAAGGGACTTGCAGGAACACCAGATATTTCAAAAGCAGGCAGCAATACAAAGAGAACAGGATACATTTTCATAAAAATACACAGGTGTCAGTGACTACGTCAGCTCTGCTTACAGCACAGGATCTGTGCGAATCAGAAGAAAGCTGGTAGGAAGGGAGTAATGTTAAAAAATCATAGAAATCCTGCAGCCTAAAGTGGCAATGTGGACAAGGAAACATTCTCATGTAAAAACTCTAAACAGCAATTCACAAGCTAGGTGCTGTGAATACAGGACAACAATCAGCTGTCAGCAGACTTACCTAGATAACTACAGCATTACTGAAGTGATGCCGATCTATGTCATAAATCACTGGTGCTGAGTTCTCGGTCTTGTGATGGCAGAGACCAGCAGGGAGCGGACATCCGCTCCCCCATCCCTTTGCAGTGTATTACATGGAGCCTCATGCTAGTCTCATCTTCAGCACAGCCTGTCACTCACAGGTGAAGGGGCGTGGCGAAACCATTTTTCTGATTGTGTCGGATTTATTCTGTTCAGAAGAGAAGGGAGGATTTCTGGAGAAGGGGATTGCTTCAAGATACCAAACTAAACTCAAATGCTTAGTAAAGGTAAAATCTATTCAACTCTAGGATTAGATGGATTTGTGCTTTTTAGGTTTACAAAAACTTTATCTCAACAATAGCACCTTCTATTGTTCAGTCTTTTTTTATTTTTGCTGCTGTCAAAATACTTTCTGTTAAAGGGTGGCTATGTTCACTCTCCAGGGTCCCACTGTATATAGGAATGTAGCCAACATCTTATACTCACTCCCAAAATGGACTAGGGACTGTGGACTATGGCACTGTAGTGTACACAGCACAGTGCACATGACTGCCACTAATGTGCACTGCTTGTCCCAAACAAACGTAAGCAAGGGGGAAAGTAGAGCTTTAGGAGTTCACAGAAGATGTTACAAGCAGGCAGAAAAACACAGTAAGAAACAATTTAATAAAAAATAGAATACAAAGCCAATAAGCAGTGGATGTGTATGGATTGTATTTAGTGAAAGAGAATATGGTTTAAAGTCCCTTTAGGTAAAAGCACAACCCCAGACCACAAGCAAAACCAACCAGTGAACTACTATTCTGGTCAAGCAAACACTGCAAATATGTTTCAAGGGACCCTGCCACAAGACTATGCATTTTAACAACTGCATGGGCCTTATTACATTGTTCCTCACATTACTTGGATGACTGGAGTGTGGCCAGTCAAATGTGTTGTGAACAATTCTTGTAACTGTAGATCTTTATCCAAAAAAAAAAGCATGGGTGTTGAGGGACAGAAGACAAACCTCTTTTACGTTTTGTGGGAATCATGTTTGAAAACAGTCTATAGTTTTTCTAGATACACTATATTGCCAAACATATTGGGGCATCCCTTTAAATCATTGGATTCAGGTGGTCAAACCACCTCCATGGCCACACACACAGGTGTATAAAATCAAGCACCTAGGCATGCAGACTGCTTCTACAAACATTTGTGAAAGAATGGGTCGCTCTCAGGAGCTCAGTGAATTCAAGCGTGGTACCGTGATAGATTGCCACCTGTGCAATAAGTCCATCCGTGAAATTTCCTTGCTACTAAATATTCCACAGGTCAACTGTTAGTGGTATTATAACAAAGCTGAAGCATATGGGAACAACAGCAACGCAAAATGACAGAGCATGGTCAGTGCATGCTGAAGCGAACAGTGTGCAGAATTCAGATTAGCACAACAACAGTGCGTAGAGAGCTTCATGGAATGGGTTTCCATGGCCAAGCAGCTGCATCCAAGCCTTACAGAACCAAGTGCAATGCAAGGCGTCGGATGCAGTGGTGTAAAGCACACCGCCACTGGACTCTAGGGCAGTTGAGACATGTTTTCTGGAGTGATGAATCACGTGCTTCTCAGTCTGGCAATCTGATGGACGTGTCTGGGTTTGGCAGTTGCCAGGAGAATGATACTTGCCTGACTGCATTGTGCCAAGTGTAAAGTTTGGTGGAGGGGGGATTATGCTGTGGGATTGTTTTTCAGGGGTTGGCCTTGGCCCCTTAGTTCCAGGGAAGGGAACTCTTAAGGCATCAGCATACCAAGACATTTTGGACAACTTCATGCTCCCAACTTTGTGGGAACAGTTTAGCGATGGCGCCTTCCTGATCCAACATGACTGTGCACCAGTGCACAAAGCAAGGTCCATAAAGACATGGATGAGCAAGTTTGGGGTGAAGGAACTTGACTGGCCTGCACAGACCCCTGACCTCAACCCGATAGAACACCTTTGGGATGAATTAGAGCGGAGACTGCGAGCCAGGCCTTCTCGTCCGACATCAGTCCCCCGCAAACACCCCATAACCACCAACAACGCCTGACCTCACAAATGCGCTTCTGGAAAAATGGTCAAACCTTCCCACAGACACCCTCTTAAACCATGTGGACAGCCTTCCCAGAAGAGTTGAAGCGGTTATAGCTACAAAGGGTGGGCCAACTCAATATTGAACCCTATGGACAAAGACTGGGATGCGTGTAAAGGCAGACGTCCAAATACTTTTGGCAATATAGAGTATATATTTATGTATTATGTTCAGGAAAAAAATGCATTAACACTTCATATCTTTCCTATTTTCAATTGGCAAGTTACAAATGTGAGCCTGGTACAGGATAGGACGCATCTTCATCCTGCTATTCTAGCAGATACAATGCCATCTAGATTCTCAGTCTGCATGAAAAGTCAACAAGTGAAGGGGCTTTCTTATTAAAACATACCAAAATATGCATGCACCCCATACAATAAAGATTTTATATCAATAAAAATATGTTTGAAAATCTATATTGAAAATAAAATTGACAATGGTTTGGTTCTCTTTAAAGACAAACTATAGGGTGCACTTGGTGTGTTGTGAAATGCAGTAGTGCCCTAACTGGTTAGAGTGCTGCATGCAGCGGACTTCATGTTACTTTCAAGACAAACTGAGCAGTTTATACTAGTTCTACGTAAAATATATTAATCTTTAAACACATCCTAGTGTTCTTAGATCTGCACAGAGTTCACCTTCAAAATATTTAGACACAAATTTAAAATATTAAAGGCATGAGACCCCCTTAGACCAAAATAGTAGAGCATGCTCTGCCTGTGCAATGGCTGTATTATTACACAGTGTGAGAAGGACAAGTGACTCATATCTCTGGGGGGTTCCACATGAATGGCCCTTGCACAAAGTGCTTGGCAAACTGTCACTTTCGTTGGAAACATACACTGACAAATGACTCACTGAATGCACACATTCTAAACAGAATTGGCTTGAGATATGTCTGTCTGCTATTCAGTGTCCACTTCCTAGGGAAATAGGCTGAAAAATCTATAAATAGAAGCTGTGTCCAGATAAAAATGTATATATCAGTTCAAATGCTAAAGAGCACTAGTCATTTTTAAGACAGATCCTTACTCCTGTTCAAGACGATAAACAAATGGCAAATAATGTCCCATATCCTTAAAGGAT